ATGTACATGGGGTACAAGTTCGAGCAGTACATGTGTGCAGGTGAGCGTTGCCCCTGCTCTGCAGGCACCCCCGCTCCCCCAGAGACTGCGAGCCCCCACCCTGTTGCTGCTTCTCTCTGTACAGACAAACCTGGAGGCTCCCCCGACCCCTCTGGGGAGGTTAACACCAACGTGGCCTTCTGCTCTGTGCTACGCAGCCGCCTGGGAAGCCACCCTCTGCTCTTCTCGGGGGAGGTGGACTGCACAGACCCCCAGGCCCCATCTCCGCAGCCTCCCACCTGCTATGTAGAGCTCAAGACCTCCAAGGAGATGCACAGCCCTGGCCAATGGAGGAGCTTCTACAGGTTCAGGACGGGGTGGGCGGGCCAGGGCCGCGAGCTGACAGCTGGGACAGGGACTTGGGGGAAGAGGAGGGGGCGCCCCACTGAGGCCTGTCTTTCCTTACAGACACAAGCTCCTGAAATGGTGGGCTCAGTCATTCCTCCTGGGAGTCCCCAATGTTGTCGCTGGCTTCCGCAACCCGGAGGGTTTCGTCTGTTCCCTCAAGACCTTTCCCACCATGCAGATGTTTGAACACGTCAGGGTAAGGCGGTGGTACCTGAACCCCCACGCCAAGGCCCCAGCCCCGTGTCCAGGGCCTAGTGTGTCCCCTCTCCTGCTCCTGCCCTCACTCGTTTCTGCCTCCTCCTCGGCCCTCTCCAGAATGACCGTGACGGCTGGAACCCTTCCGTGTGCATGAACTTCTGTGCCGCCTTCCTCAGCTTTGCCCAGAACACAGTCGTGCAGGACGACCCCAGGTGAGGCATTCCACTCTGCCCTCCCCTCTGGGTCCCAGGAGCCCGGCCTCCAGCCCTCAGCTGCTGACTCCGTCTTCCCCTCAGGCTTGTCCACCTCTTCTCCTGGGAGCCTGGCGGCCCAGTCACCGTGTCTGTACATCGGGACACACCCCATGTCTTCCTGCCCACATGGTACGTGGAAGCCATGACTCAGGAGCTCCCATCACCCCCCCAAGACACTGTCCCCTAAGGACTTCTACTTCAGGGGGGCTGGTCCTGTCTCTGTGCAGTTAAAGGCAGATTTCTAGGTGGTTCTCCCTGCTGTGTCTTTGAGCTGTCACCCTGCCCAGCACCTCAAGTACACAGGCGGTTTGCTGTTTTATTCTTTTCCCATGGGGGCCATTCACTGAGTGTAGAGGCTGGCTGCAAAGACGATGTCCCTCCGCAGCAGGGTAGCTGCCGTCTCCATCTTGGCACCCAGCACAGGCTCGCCGACCAGGCGGGCCGCCCCTCGCAGTGAGCGACACATCTCGGCCAGGCGCTGGATGCAGCGGACCACCAGGCCCTCAGGCGTCCCCGAGAGCCCTGCCAACTCCGAGAAAGGCTGTGGGGGAAGCAGGGTGGGGACTAAATTTGATAGACCTGGGCAGGCTCTCCCCAACCGTCTGCAAAACCCCAAATCCAGTTACTCACCATGCCCCGGGCCCACTCGTACACAACCCCGACCAGCCCGAAATTCAGCTCCCCGACAAATTCTTCCACCGTCTGGTTCAGGCCACAGGCCACCTGGACCTCACCGATCCGCTTGGCCACAGCGCGGACCCGTTCCACTCCCTGCAGGTGGGGAAGGACAGGTTAAGACCCCCTTCCTGCTCCAGGACTAGGGAGGCTCAGATCAAGGAAGAAGCCATTCCAGCTCTTCGGGGCACGTACAGGGTTGGAGAGGTCATGGGGGGACCCTGGGGGTGGGGCCTGGGAATGCTGCAGCCCGGGACGGGGGCCCCATACCTGTTTGAGGGTACTTGGGAGCTGCTCCCCAGTGTCCCCGGGGCTCTGGCAGACCAGGCCAGAGAGCAGGGCGGCTATCTCCTCCGGCCGCAGGGCGCTCAGAGCGTTGTCGAACAGGAGCTCGGTGAGGAGCAGCTCGTGGCTGCTCATGGCACAAGCCACGCGCCCTGCCAGCTTCACCGTGCCCGCCTCGTCCACATAGCCCAGTGTTCGGAGCACCTGGACAGAAGACGGCGGGTGTCGGGAGCCTGCTGTTCTCCCTCACTAGCCCCCCACACTGCTCTCACCTCTACTCGCTGGTGGTACTCGGGGAGCAGCAGCAGCGACTGGTCTGACAGCAGGAAGCGCAGCCGCTCTATCTCCTTCTGTAGCTGCCTCCGCTCCTGCAGCTTCAGGTACTGCGGAGAGCCACAGCAGGGAGTTAGCTCTCCCTCGCCCTCCTTGGGGCTTGAGGACCAGGGCTGACATGGGGGTGGGCAGCCTACGGGGACCAGAGAGAAAAGGCTTCAAGCTGGCATCCAGGGCCCTACCTGGGCAGGGAAACGGGGGCTGTGCACGCACTGAGCCCCCTGGATCACCTCCTCTAGCTTCCGGGCCCGGAGTCCCCCCTCAACCACTGACACATCCTTAAGCTGCAAGTCGTTGACAGGGTCAAGGGTAGGGGGTCCTGTCGGGTGGGCCTGAGCCAGGCGCAGCAATTCCTGGGCAGCAGCGGTCACAGCAGCGAGGGGAGGGTCCTTCCTGAGGAAGGAGCAGGTCCTGAGACGGGCTGCGGGCCTCCCAACCCTGCCTCCCACTCCCCCCCACGTGGTCCCTCCCCGGGAAAGGGGCCTCCCCAGCATCGGACTTGAATTTCAGCTGCTGCCGCCTGCTGAAGTCCTCCAAGATCTTCTCCCCGTTCACCCGGAGCACTTTGGTGGTGATGGCAGCCACGTCTCCGGGCTGGAGCTTGGCCACAGTGTGGTCACAGGGCCCTGTGAAAACGGACGAGCAGGGTCAGACCTCGCCCTGAACCCAGGTGCCCTGCCTTCACTGCCCTTAGGGACTTGGGCACCTGCCCCTCACCTTCAGGCAGGAACAGTTTGAATCCCACCAGGTCCTCTGGGTAGGGCACACCTGGGGAGGCCGAGCGCCTCTCCTGTGGGTCCTCAGACGCGGGTTTATCACACAAGACCAGAGTGGTGAATGCCCTGCTGGAGGAGTTCGAGGAGACCTAGGGGCGGGGAGGCCGGGACAGGGAATGAGAGGAGTGGACAAGGTTGAGAGCAGGTCCCACCTCAGGCAGGGATCCCGGAGCAGCCACACAGCCCACCAACGCAGACCACGTCAAGCAGGCGGGTTGGGGAGCGGGGGAGGGCAGAGGGCACGAAGTGGTGGTGATGGGAGGAGAGGAAGGCAAGAGGGAAGATGAGGGCACTGCCGAGTGTAACCTGCTCCTCCCTCGGGCCCAGATCCCCGGCATCACCTGCAGGATCACACCCAGTGCGTTGTGATGCTCCTGAGTCTTCACAACCACCACCCTCCCGGCCGAGAGAGACTTCAGCCCGTTGACAGACTCCATGACACGTCGCTGAGGAGCGGGGATGTGCACACGGATGAAGGAGGCAGTCAGGGATGCAGGGACCAATTCGGGGGCGCCCAGAGTGCCGCCCTGTCTTCCCTTCCTCCGTCTGCCCGCACCTCTGCTGACCTGGATCAGGCTGCGGGTCTCTGTCAGCTCCTCTCCCCAGCTGTAATACTCGGGCAGGTCCACCAGTTGGCCAGTCAGGTCAGGCTCCTCCAAGGCCCCCAGCTTCTTGGTTAATTCAGCCAGAGCCTGTTCGTGGGCCTGGGCAGAAGCAAGGGCGGGTGTGAAATGAGTCTCCAGGCTCAGTCGGCTACATCCCCACCTGCAGTCCACTGGCCTCCGCATGCCCACCACCTATCCCCAGCCTGGCTTCCCTTGTCCAATGTCCAGGCCAGGGTACTGGTCCCCCGACCCCCTCACCTTGCTGTCCTTGCGGGACGGAAACTCAGAGAAGCTCCTCTTCATCATGTCCTCCACCCTGAGGGCGTCCACCCGCAGCAGGTTGAGGATCATGGTGTACGTGAGGCGGAACTGAGACTGCAGCTGCGATGGCTTACCCTGTGGGGAGCGGGGAGACCAGGCTGGGCCTGTTGCTCCCCAGCCAGCCCTCTGCGGACCACCCTAGACAAGCTGCCCACTCACCGCTTCTGCCAAATAAGGGAGCAGAACTGATGGAGTCACAAGGCCCTGCTAGCGCCGCACTCAGTGCGGGATAGAGCGAGACCAGGTCTCGCCCTGGGATCTGCACGCTCCCACCGGGGCTTCCCCGGGCAAAGGAAATAATAGACAGAAAGGAGAGGGCAAGGGCCGGAGAGGCAGCCGCGGGCGGGGCTGGGCCTTGTGTCTCACCGTCATCATGCGGTGCAGGTCCACCATCTCGGGCACGCGGCCCTTGCAGAGCAGGATGACAGTGCCCGTGGGGTCCAGGCCCCTGCGGCCCGCGCGGCCCGCCATCTGCACATACTCCCCGGGGAGCAGGTCCCGGAAGGCGTTGCCGTCGTGCTTTCGCATGGAGTCAAACACCACCGTTCGGGCCGGCATGTTGACACCCATGGCAAAGGTCTCTGTGGCGAACAAGACCTGGGACACGGGAAGAGAGATCAGCACAGACCTCGCAGCCACCCACTGCCTCACTAGCAAGGCCATGTAGGCAGCTGGCGGGGTCCAGGTGGTTAACTCAGGAGCCCACTCCACTCAGGGCAAATGGATAGAGCGGGGACGACCACTTCCCTCATTCATTGACTTAGCTATTCCTTTCTTGGGGCCCTCACATCCCACCCCCACTGTCAGTCACCCGATGTCTCTAATGAGTATCGTTTTGTGTGAATGTGTTCTTACACATTGTCTTGTGTGCATGTAATTTGCAATTCACATTGAAAGCAGTTGTGTATCTCCTGTTTCCTTACTTCTTTTCCTCCACATGGTGTTTTCAGCACCCACTTTCCCTGTGGTTATACTTAACCCCTTGCTTCCAACTGAGGCAGGACGGGGGAGCATACCTACAGTTACCCGGCTGCTCTCCCCAGGGGGCAGGGACCGATCCCTGCCAGACTAGCCAACAAATAACGAGCAGACATGTTTCCCCCTGCGCCCGGGTGAGGACTTCCTTGTGGCTTATATTCAGGGATGGAGTCGGGTCAGAGTATGTTACACCTGCTCTGGCCTAAGGAAAGCCAGGGTACGTCTGGACTGGCCACCTGTGCGAAGGGTCCTAGAGTCCTGTGCAGGCAGACCTCACTCGATTGCAACTCGCAGATACTGCATGGCCGTCAACATGGGGGCAAGACCCTCCAGCGAAAGGTTACAATTCACTGAAGGCTCAAGATGGGGAGCATTTGTAACACTATTCTCTAAAGTACGTACATTGTTTTTAGACATAACGCTTTGTACACTTAACAGAGTTCTGGATGGTGTCAGCATAACTTTTAAGTGCACCGAGAAGCCAAAAAGCTGTGTGACTCGCCATAATGCGACACTCCGGGGGTCTGGGACCCAGCCCGCAACGTGCCCGAGGTCTGCCTGTGGCTGTGGCAGCTTTTGGCACTAGCCAGTTCCCTAAGTTTCACCATCTAATCACTGAACTCTTATCTCGTTTCAATTTGCATTTTTCTGACGACAGCGTCTGTGCTTGCTAGCTTTTGGGGTTTCTCTTCTGAGCGCATCCCCGTTTAAGATGAGGACCCTAAGGTCCGGGAGGTGAAGAAGCTGCCGCAGGGCCGCGGGGGGGGGCGGTGTGCACCTTGACCAGGCCGCGGCTGAAGAGCATCTCCACAATTTCCTTGAGGATGGGCAGGATGCCGCTGTGGTGCACGCCCAGGCCTCGGTGCAGGAGCTCCGACATGTGCAGCACCTGCGGGGACCGAGACCACGGTCAGGGAGGGGCGTCGGGCACCCAGCCCACCGGCCTCCGAGCCCGGGGCCCTCGCACCTGGGGCAGCTGCCGGTCGGAGCCGCGGAGGCGCGCGAGGCAGCGCTGCAGGAAGAGGTGAATCTCGCTCTTCTCTGAGCTCGTGGTGAGGTCCAGGGAGGTGAGGCCTGATGCCTGCTCGTCACAGCGGCCCCGGGAGAAGGTGAACACCACCACGGGCAGCTGCGCACGGGTGCGGAGGGAGGTCAGGAGGGACAGGTACACGCCGCGGTCCTGGGGAAGGGGTGCAAAGGCACAGGTGGAGGCGCCGGTGGGGGGGAGAAGGAAGTGTCAGCGGGGGCAGTGCTCACAGCGCAAGTCCGATGCCCCGG